AAAAGTTGATAGTGGTTTTCCTAATAAATATAAGAGTGAGCAATATTAAAAATTTATATAGTTTTAGAACATCATGTATCTAAAATTTTGAAAAAAAAAATGTGAAAAAAGTAAATTGTTTTTATAAATAATGATAGTTTTACGCTTCATGAATCCCCCTGTATAATATATAAATAAATAAAATAATTATAGTTATATGCATTCGCTTATATACTTATTATATAAGTTACTGCTTAAGCAAAGTGTATATTTTATTATCTGAATTAATTACGTTATTAATTCTTAACCAATGTAAGCACCRACGTGGCTGTTACATCAAAATGTTCCGTCTGATTTGTTTAAGAAATATCTAGGCAGGGCCAGCCGTAGGTATTTCKCCACCCGGTGCGATTTAAAAATGTTCCATACTTTTTATTGGAAAAAAATCAGTGGCGTAATTTGCGGGGTTGGTAAATTGAGTCCCAGAAAAAATAAAGTAATAAGTAATTTGAGTCACAGGAAAAAACGATTTATATACATTTAAAATTTAAAAATGTGCACTGTAAAATTTTTATTTGTGATTTGTGGACATTCATTGTCTGCATGTCTGCATGTATATGATTTTGAATATAGCAACATGAATTTTAATTGCATTTTTATTAATTATATAATTATTTTTTATGCAATAAAATTGCATGTTGCTATTTTAAAATCATATACATGCAGTCAATGAATGTCCACAAATCACAAATAAAAATTTTACAGTGTACGTTTTTAAATTTTAAATGCATATAAATCGTTTTTCCCTGCGACTCAAATTACCTACTGCCTTATTTTTTCCGGGACTCGACTTTAGGTAACCTAACCTATTTTTCCCCTGGACTCAATTTACCGCTTTCAAAATGTACCAAACTTATCTCGGACTCAATTTACCTAGCCCCGTAATTTGGCCGGGCGCCCGGAAATTGGGCCATATTTTAACTACCTGTTTCGWATAAAATATTTATTTACATTTTACTACCCGRAKATTGGGCCATAAAAATATACCACACAAATATASCATTAAATATGAATAAAATTATAACGTTTATTAACTAATTACTATTTTTTTTAAATACTTCCTTACAGATTTAACTAATTTAATATATAAAAAGGTCATTAAAATTAGTCAAATATGAAATAATTTTTATAAATAATGCCAATACTCATTTTACAAATATAATACAAGGTTCATAAAGTTATTCAAAAAATAAATGTAGTAATAAAAACTGACCCAATTACCGGGCCTACCTGTAATAAATATAAAATTTTAGTGGCCCAATTACCGTATACCTTTGGGAAAAAGGTGAATTGTGGCCCTATCCCCGGCCGCCCATTTGGCCATGTTTG